GGATGGAGTGAGGAGGCCGAGGCTGCCGTGGATCTTATGGGCATCGCTAAGGAGCTGGGGGCTCAGAGAAGGGGGCTGGGAGGGCCGGGTGGAGCCAGAGCTCTGGTCTGGGTTACGTGAGCCCTGTCCCCGGGCATCCCTGCCTCCAGACCCGGTTCTCAAAAAAATTATTTCTTATGATTTTAGAGAGAGAGGAAGGGAGAGGGATAGAGGGATAGAAATGTCAATGAAAGAGAAACATTGATGGGCTGCCTCCTGCACACCTCCTACTGGGGATGGAGCTCGCAACCTAGGCATGTGCCCTGATCGGGAATGGAACCAGGGACCTGTTGGTTCATGGGTCGCACTCAACCACTGAGCCATACCGGCCGGACTCAAAATCTTTTAAAGGAAGGGAAATGGAGAGGAAATGCATGTACTGAGCTCTCTTTCCAATCTTCTTACCCTCAGCTCTCCAAAACGCTCCCTCTGTCTGGACCCCAGACATACCCTAACCGTACGCTCCCCACTGTTTCTGCTCCCCCCATTGCCTCCCCTGGAAACGCTGCCTTCTCTTTCTGGCCTCTCTAAGTGTGGCAGATCCTCGCCTCCCCCCTAAATAATTGAATGGAGCTGATTGTGGCCCGAAGCCAACATTCCCCGTGTCCAGGGAGACAGGTGAAAAGCCGAGATGATTGTCAATGGGTGTGTATTCATTTAGATCTCATTGCGGGCACATAAAATGCCATTTGCTCATGTGTCAGGACCCTCCGTGGGAAATGGAGGCCCAGGTCAAGAGAAGGCCCAGGGGTCGAGGGGGTTAGGGTAGGGAGAGAGGGTGGAGAGAGAAGCCGGCCTCCCTACAAGCCGGTACTTGCTCAGCCGCGTGAGGATTGCACGGGATGAGGTGGGAGAAGCACCTGACGGCCCTACTCACGTGCGTTCGTTCGTTCGTGCGTTCACTTTGCCCGCCAACATGGAGCCGCCCTGTGTGCTAGACACGGCCTCTCCTGCCCCGGGGGCGGGGTGGGTGGGGTTGGGGGGAGACGGCGATGACAGACGTTGCTGCAGAGTCCACCCTGCAAGCTGATAAGGGCTCCGATGGAGGCACTACTTGGGGGAGCAGAGAGGAGGGGTTCAGAGGACTCGGGGAAGACAGCTCTTGAGAGTTACGGTGAGTTTTCCAGATAAGAAAGAGGTGGTAACGGGTCAGGGTGGGCTCAGGAGGGACCCCAGGGCGTTGAGGGCGGGGCTGATGCCCCAGGGAGAGTGTGCTGGCAGGCAGGGAGGTGGCTGGGTGGAGAGTGGGGGGAGTGGGGTGGGAGGACAGGAGGCAGGAAGGCCCACGTGAGGCTGACCATCCAGCAGGGGACTGGGCCTGTTGGATGGAAGGCAGGTGCAGCCCCGGGAGGGGGTTAAGCTGGGAGGGATCAGGCCTGGTGTTGCTGAAGAAAGAACACTCTGGAAGCCTTGCGTGTATAGTCTTGCAGCCAGCTGGGTGCCAGGAGAGAGGCCAGTGGAGGAGGGTAATCCACGAGGCGTAAGGACCCCCGTCCCCCTTACACATCCCTGTGTATCGTAATTGATTGTGTAAAAACCAATTTGTTTACGCGGATAAGCTGCAGCCGATAAGCCCAGCTCCTCCGCAGACCACAGTGGCTATCGGTGAGTCAGTGCCTGGGGGATTGTCGAGCTGATGAAGCAAACAGACACGCGATACAGGGCAGGGAGCAGGTGGGGACAGAGGCTGCAGGCCCAGGTGTGGATTTGCAACCTGGCCCCCCATATGAGAGCTTCGGGGGCCCCTGTGTGGGAAGAGCAGCTTGGGCTGCTTAAGCAGCAGGCATTGATTTCTCAGTTCCGGAGGCTGGAGGTCTGAGGTCAAGGTGTCAGGGTTGCTTTCTCCGTGGGCCTCTCTCCTAAGAGACCCTGCCCAGTCCCATGGCTTCGCGGGCCATTCATTCCTGATGGCTCCAGCCTGAACCTCCACTGGGCACCGGAACTGCGCCCCACTGCCCTTCCACCCCCACCCGCTCCAGCTCTGTAAGTGGCTCCACCCCACTCCCAGCCAGGCCTCCAGACCTACAGGTCACTGTGTGTGTTTTTTTAAATAT